ATTAGCTTTGCTTAACTATTAAGGAATAAGAGGAAGAGGTGCTGCTGATGTGTGGGTTGGAAGCACTGTTTTCTAAAATAATGGTGTCTTTTTTTGTTTGGAAATGTTGCTGTCATGTAGGACGTTTCTTGGAGCAACAACAACACTTTCTATTTTGTACCAGTGCTCCATGTCTGTTTTTAGCACTGGTATCTATTATAGGATGTGCACGTCACTGCCACATCACATCCTCATTGGTAGCAATGAGCTCCAATCTGAGAAAACGTCAAATTCAGTATTGCTCCAAACTACACATTCTCAATTTCCAAGGCATGGCTTGGAGTACAATTTTTTACGGAAAAATGGTTCCAAACAAATAGACATTTCCTAGAGCACAATTTTTTCCGACATGGCACTAATGTGTCATCATTTTCTGGAGCAACGACATCGATGCCGAACAGACACTTAAAGACCATCATAGTAAGAATTAGGTGGATGAAAATTTTCTCATCCTTTGAAGTGATCTTTTTTCATTTCTTGGGAGCGGGCCTTCGGATGAGAAATTCCACCCGAAAAAGAAAAAAAAAAAAAGATGAATCCCAAGGAGCGAGATTTTACTCTGGAGAATGCCAAACAAGGCCTTAGCCTCTAAAATTTTCAACATTGGTTTCTTGGGTTTATTGAACCAACAGTCCTAAGAGGTGAGGAGTAATAGGGGGAACTTGCAAAATAGGAATACAACAATCCTCCTCATCACTATTTCTCTTTTAAAGTTTCAATACATTTATTTGTTTCTATGTGTCTATTCTTAGTAAAAGTAAACCTCTAAAAATAACTTTTTGATATTATTAAAAAAAAAGGAAGAAAAGAAATGATGGAGCCTATTCTAAGTGTAGAAAAGGGGAAGATGCATGCCTCAAAATGTTTCTCCTGTATGGTTGGTTGGTAGAGGCTTCTTGTGCTTAATAAACCTGCAACACAAAGAGAAGGGTGATTATTATTGAATAAATTACAGATAGGTACTTTGTACTTTGGGGATAGTGGCAGATAGATACCTTGAACTTTAAATTGCAAAACTTGAGTATCCTGAACTCTCAAAAATAGACATTAGGTCTAGGGGTGCAAGTCGGGTGTGTTGGCCCAGGTTTATGGTCAATTCAGGCCCGACTCTAAAATTTGGGCTTAAGGTCTAAGCCCGGCCTGAGCCTGAGGTCAAGTCTGATTTTCCCAAACCGAGCTCAACCCACCCTATAATTCGATGCACTCGGGTTGGGTTCGAGCCTGGCCTAGGCTCGGATTAGTCAATAAATCCACTCTAAAATTATACATATATAAATGTATTTATGCAAATATATATACATATATTTATGTATGTATGCAAAATATCTATACAAATGTTATATATACAGATATGTATGTATATATATGTAAATGTGTATGCAACATTTACATATATACACATATATGTATAAATGTATATAATTGGGCTGGGCTCGGTCCAGGTTCGAACTACCTAAGGGCTAGGCCCGAGCCCGGCCCGAAAAATAAAAAAGCCCAACTTCTTGTGCCCGGCCCAAGGACCGAAAATCCAAGCCCAACTCGTATAAAATTTTGGATCGGGCCAGTTTGGACTCGGCTTGGACTCGCCCAAATTGCACCCCTACTTAGGTCCATCCGTTAGTTAAACATTACATAATGCCAAAAATACCCTTCTCATAACAGATGGGCACAAGTGTCTACATCTAATTAGTTAAACACAGTAAAGATTTCATGTCACAATATCTACATCTAATTAGTTCATCATCAACGTTGGTAGCAACAACTGCATCAATAATTATCTTATCCCCATTATCAACAACAAACAACTACCCCAAAAAAATAGAAATGCATATTGATAAGACATTAAAAAAAAAGTTTTGTCATATACATTTGATTTTACTCATTTGTCAAACCGTTATCCATAAGAGGGATTATAAGTGATTGAATTTGTTGAGTCTATGCCAAGTTTCAGTTCATAATCAGAGATAAAGTGAATGAGAAAGCAATGATCCAAATCCAATGGTGGGAAAAATCTCAAATGATTTCATTACCTTTGAATACATTTATAGATTGAGTGAATAGAAAAGAATAAGAAAATAAAGAGAGAATCTCTCAGTTACAGTATGTTATTTTAGAGCCAATTTATCACTTAGCTTGCTAATATTATGAAGATTTGATGAAGATGTTGATGGAATCATAGCTGATCTACAATTCGAAGCTACACAAGCTGAATCTGTGCTACTTGTAGCAACTGCTGCATTCACCAATGGCATGCATGAAGATGGTGCTGAGGTGGGCTTAACAAGAGATATGCTGTTACTAGCTGTGGTAAAGGAAAGAAAAATCCAAGACAAGATACCACATGAAATTCTTCCCTTCTACCTGTGGCTCTTGTAATGAACGATAGGATGCCACATGGAATCCTTCTCTTCATAACCATGTTGCTGTAAACAATGATGCAGATCATTAGCATTTGCTCAAGGAACAAATCCTTGGAATTATAGGAGGAATTTATTCCATATATCAATCTTCATGGTCAATAGAATTTTTTTTTTTCTGTATAGTTTAGAGATGGACCTTTGCATCTCTTGCCTTCATGGTGTATTGTCTACAAAAAAAGAAAATGCATTGTTTTAGTTTTTTTTTTTTTTTTTTTTTTCTTCTTCTCTTTGGTAATGCCTTTTTTCATAATTTATTAATTTATTGTATTTTTTTTTTGTTGCTACAATGGATTGGGCCCATATCAATGCGTCCATTTAGTTTAAAGATGCCCCACACCAAAATGCAGAAAACAACATAAATAAAGGGACACTCCCATTTGTTTTTGGTTTTCTGACCTTCCAAAAGAATAGTCACACATGCAATGATTAAGATCATTTGATTGCAAACTTAAACATCATCCTCATATATTAGAAAATTCCCTGATGAAGGCCATCAAAATGCTACTCCTGATTAACTAATTCCCCTCCTTTGTGCAACATTCATTGGCAGAGCAAGTGTTGCCATTTAGGCAGTTTTTTGATAACACCTTAAAGAAATGTTCCTGCTATTTCCTTCCTTCCAAGGAAACAGAAAATAGTTGGTTTCCTGAATTTCTGTACCACAGGTTTATAAGTTATTTAGTTGACATTAGTTCATCAAAATCATTTTTACATGGAGGACAAAACCCCACTCTTATTTTGGAGTCAACTAGCATGCTTTGCATGCCTTTATCAATGGACAACTTTCAGGTATAGCCAGTGATTCAACCTGTAGGCCGAAATCAATAAAATTGCTCTCCTCAGTGTTTGGCTGTTATTGGCAAGGGTATAATGGCTCAGTGTTTGACTGTATAAATCTACCAGCACATAATCATTCATTTTTTCATATTTTCTCCATATGTGCACTTGTTACAGGTTATCAATATGCGTTTGTTGAAAATATATAATAAGTGGGTTGTTTTGTGATTTTTTTTTAACAGGGGCAAAATTGGAAATTTTGGTTGATTCCGGTTCCAGCTTCTAGTTGAACCAAACAGGTGTCAGGAATAGATGATTCCGATTCCAATCCTGTCCATGAATCAAACGGACCCTAATTTTCAACTTCTCAGTTTTGTATATGATTAATTAATTAATAGAAATTAAATAATATATGAGTTGAAACTAAAAGAGTAATTCTCACTTTTGTATATGATTAATTAATTAATAGAAATTAAGGCCCCATTCGTTTTTTTATAAATTATTTATATCCGAATAAATATTTTTCTAGGAAAAACTTACATTTACCTATATTCTTATATTTCCTATTTCCCATATAAATAACGCAATGACAATATTCAATATTGGGATGCTCCACCATTCTACTTGTTCCGTTCTCATATTTATATATTTATCTTGTCAGAGAGGGAGGACTAGTTGCCCATATCCTAATTTTCTCTGCCGAGACTAATGGATTTTAATAGACCACACATGGTGATAATGGTCAATGGTAGTGGGCCTGGGCCCTCAATATTGAATATTGAACTGTGACCTTGTGAGGGTTTCTCATTTGAGAGGCCAATATAATCTAGCAATCCCCATCAAATGGGGACTAAACTAGTTATGATCACATGGACCCACCAATTAGATCTACGGTCCATTAATGACGATGTGATGTACAGGCGATAGGTGATAGGTGATGTACACCCAGATTAAATTTCACCCAAACTTTGTACAAGCATATGAATTCAGAGTTCAGACAGAAATCATCAAATCCCTCCTCGCCCCTTGCTCCTTGGTCAGGCCTCGCACCAACAGCAAAGTATCTCTTTCAAATATTTAAATCGTGACAGACCTGCAACGCCAAATCCTATCGCGTAATGACGTCACCAACGGCGATACACCCGAGGCATGACGTGGCCTATTTCATAGCCACGTGGCAGACCATAAAACATTCCAAATTTCTGACCCAATCAGAGGTTGGTATATTATCCAATATTCAAGGTTTCTAACACGTGGCTAACGGAATGGTTGGTTGGATACGCCTGAAATCGAGAAATATCTGCTACCTCCGTTGGCTTGGCATACCTCTTCCAAAAACCGTGACCATCGCTGTGTTGATATGAGCCCACCCTGAATCACATGAAGTGATGATGTTAAGTAAAAGTGGGACTCAGATGGTGAAATGTGAAAATTGGAGAGGCAAACCTGGGGCTGATCTCCCATGTCAGCGGTCTGTTCTGCCACGTGGCTACTTATTTTTTGCCATGCTGGGTCACAAGCAACTCCTGTTGGATGACTGTCTTATTAGTAATTTTTCCTTTCAGAGTCTTCCATTTAACGGTCTGATCTGCCATCAGTGCCATGTCCCCACTTATTTGCCCCGCTGGATCACAGGCAAGCCACCTGCGTATGACACGGTCTTTTCAAAGTCATCCGGTCAACGGTCTGATCTTCCACGTGGCAACTTACTTACCACGCTGGACCACGGGCAACTCGTCTAATTTTCCAACCAACGTTGTCGCCACAAGTTTTTCCTCCTGTCAAAGTCTTCTACCCCAACCCACTTCCGTTTTCCCCCTCTCTGACTCTGTAACTCAGCCTCTCAAAAACCCCAACACCCCTGTAACCACAGAACCAGGTAGAATAAAAAGAGGAGAAGGTGAGAGAGTGAGAGAGTGAGAGAGATGATGATGATTCCCTATTTCTCTCTATTGTTGTTACTTCTGTCTGGTCTTTTCTGTTGCCTGATCTCTGCAAGCATCTCTCCCGGCTGGACGCTTCGAGTTGGGGGACCCAACACAAACTTGACATCAGCAAACAACACCTTTTCTCTGTCCTTCATCAGCGTCAACTCAAACAACCCATCTTCAGTTGCCGCTGCAATTTCCTACTCCGGCATCCCTGTCTGGATAGCCGGTGGCGACGACGGCGTTGTTGACTCCAATGCGGCCTTTGAATTCCGCACAGATGGCAATCTCCGCCTCGTTAATGGATCTGGCTACGTCGTCTGGGAGTCTAAGACGGGCAACCGCGGCGTTACAATGGCGACGCTTGAAGACACAGGTAATTTTGTTCTGAGGAACGACTCGGTTATGGTTTGGTCTACTTTCGATAATCCAACAGATACGATCTTGCCGACCCAGAATTTCACTATGGATAAGAGATTGCGATCTGGGTCTTACTCTGTTGTTCTTCTGAAGTCTGGAAATCTGACTCTAAGATGGAACGACACCATAGTTTACTGGAATCAAGGTTTGAATTCGTCGATTGATGCGAATTTGACGGCCCCCAGCTTGTCCCTTCAATCTATTGGACTTCTGTCGCTTTACGATCTTAAGCTTGCTCAACCTGTTGTTGTGGCTTATAGTAGCGACTATGGAGAGGGTACTGATGTTCTTAGGTTTCTGAAGTTAGATTCTGATGGAAACTTGAGAATCTACAGCTCTGTTAAGGGTTCCGGTGCCTCCACTGAGAGGTGGGCTGCTGTTTTAGACCAGTGTCAGGTTTTCGGGTGGTGTGGTAACATGGGGATTTGTAGCTACAACGATACCAAGCCTATTTGTGGTTGCTCATCTCAGAATTTCGAGTTTGTGGATCCGAATGACAGTAGAAAGGGGTGCAAGAGAAAGGTAGAGATTGAAGATTGCCCTGGCAATTCAACTATGCTGCAACTGGAACATACCCAGTTTTTGACTTACCTTCCTGAGCTCTCTTCCCAGGTCTTCTTTGTTGGAATATCCGGTTGCAGGTTGAATTGCCTCGTAGGTGCTTCCTGTGTTGCGTCTACCTCTTTGGCTGATGGAACGGGACAGTGTTATTTGAAGGTTTCAGATTTCGTTTGTGGGTATCAATCCCCTTCCCTTCCTAGTACTTCTTTTGTCAAGGTCTGCAGCCCAGAGCTTCCCAACTCACCCCCATCTTCCCCGAGCTCAACCGATACAAAGACTCGGGGGTTGCGTGCATGGGTAGTTGTGGTTGTGGTTTTGGTAACACTGGTTGGGTTAGTCCTCTTGGAGAGTGGATTGTGGTGGTGGTGCTGTAGGAATAGCCCCAACTTTGGGGGATTCTCAGCTCAGTATGCTCTTCTTGAATATGCCTCTGGTGCTCCAGTCCAGTTCTCCTATAAGGAGCTGCAGCGCTCAACAAAAGGGTTCAAGGAGAAGCTTGGAGCAGGTGGGTTCGGTGCTGTTTATAGAGGGATTCTTGCTAATAGAACAGTGGTTGCAGTGAAACAGCTTGAAGGGATTGAGCAAGGAGAGAAGCAATTCAGGATGGAAGTTGCAACAATAAGCAGTACTCACCATTTGAATTTGGTGAGGTTGATTGGGTTTTGCTCCGAAGGTCGCCATAGGTTGCTGGTTTATGAGTTCATGAAAAATGGCTCTCTCGATAATTTCCTTTTCACAACAGAAGAGCAGCCTGTAAGATTGTTGGACTGGGAGGCCCGTTTTAATATAGCACTTGGAACTGCAAGGGGTATCACATACCTTCATGAGGAGTGTCGGGACTGCATTGTCCACTGTGATATAAAACCAGAGAACATTCTGCTAGATGAAAATTATAGTGCTAAGGTCTCAGATTTTGGCCTTGCAAAGCTTATAAATCCAAAAGACCATAGGCGGACCTTAACAAGTGTCAGAGGAACAAGGGGATACTTGGCACCAGAGTGGCTTGCAAACCTTCCCATAACATCCAAATCTGATGTCTACAGTTATGGAATGGTTTTATTGGAGCTTGTCAGTGGTCGAAGGAATTTCGAAGTTTCAGCTAGCACATCCCATAAGAAATTTTCTCTGTGGGCTTATGAAGAGTTTGAAAGGGGAAATATAGAGAATATTGTTGACAGAAGGTTGACTGAGCATGACGTGGATATGGAACAAGCAATGAGAGCAGTTCAAGTGAGCTTCTGGTGCATCCAGGAGCAGCCATCTCAGAGGCCAATGATGGGAAAAGTGGTGCAAATGTTAGAAGGGATTACATCTATTGAAAAACCACCAGCCCCAAAGGCCACGACAGAGGGATCTGTAAGTGGGACTAGCATAAATGCTAGTAGTAGTGTGAGTAATTTCTCCACCTTTGCAGCTTCAGGTCCAGGTCCATCCTCAACCTCATCATTCCAAGCCTTAGGAGTTCCATCATCTGTTTCAGGGAGGAACATTGAGAGAACTTCATCCTCTCTGCTTCAAAATTGAACTTTGAACCCTCTTTCTCACATTTAATTTGTATGACAGCTAGTTCAAATTATAATCCTTCCAAAAATCTTGTCTATGAAGAAGACTAATGCAGGTAAGTTTTGTTGTATTGTTGTATTGTTATAACCTAATTGTTATATACCCTGTATTCTTGTTTTATGTATGGTTCAAGCTCTCAAATTGAGATTTTTCTTCCATCTGTCATGCATATACTCTTGTACAAGTTCAATTTAACTAAGGATTGCTTATTTGGTCTATTCAATATTTTGTTAAATTATTACTCTCCTGTTACACGGTATAATTGCTGTTTGTACACACTCTTATTTCTAATTATAATTCTTCATGAGGAGTGTCAAACTGCATCTTCCACTGATATAAAGGTAGAGAACATTATATTGGGTGAAAATTACAATGCTGATCCTTGGTCAGCCTTGCATTACTTGTTAAATCATGGAGACCATAGGTGCACTTTAACAAGTATTAGAGAGATTATGGGATGTTTAGCCTTGTCATAAAATAAGTGGTACAGGCACATGTAAAAGGAATTTTTGTTCTGGTCTTAGGGAGGTGAAGAGGGGGAACGCGAGGGACAGACTGGGTATAGTCCTATTGGCATTTTTTGTGCACAAAGTGGCTGCCCTCAGACTTGAATCCACATTCTCATACTTGCCATCCCAAGGTTTTAATAATGAATATCATCATTATTAAAAGATTGAAAGATTGACCAAATATCAGGTAGACATGGAGCAAAATGATTAGTGAGGCTTCTGGTGAATTTGAAAGCTGACAATCAAGGGAAAAGTGGTTTATATGCCAAAAGGTATTACATGAATTAGAAACTATTGGCCCTAAAGTCTATGGCAGAAGGCTCTGTAAGTGGAACCAGCATAAATGTTATGAGTGACCTGAGTCTCATCCCACATTTGCATATTCAGCCTTAACTCACTGTTCAGCCTCGTTAATTTTGAGCCTTGGCATTTTTATCATCTATCTCAGGGAGGAGAGAGTAGTAGTCATCCCTCTTGCGTTGCTTTGTGTAAGTTACTAATTGAACATTTCTAATTGGTTGTTTCCCATCATAGAATTTCTGCTTTTATTTGTGTCTGCAGTCATTAGTGCCCCAATCTGTGGAATAAGAGAGACGGTGGCATTTTAGATCACAACATCTAGTACAATCTCACCATTTTGCCACTAACAAAAAGTTCAATTGCAGCTTTTTCCTTGTACTATATCCAACAGGGGTCACTTTGATCTTGTAACTTTTATTTATTTTCTACTACCTACTTTAAATGGCATCCCCCTCTATATAGTCTGTTCTCTCCACACCATGTTTGATTGTTTGAAGTCTTCTTAGTGGAAACAAAGGGTAACTCTACTACCAAAGGAAAACAATGCATCTCTTTCTTCTTTTTATGTAAATATGTTATTACTATTGTTAATAAATTAAATATCTCTCATGGAGGTGTTTTATACAAACAAGAAAAAGGGATAAAAGAACTTTTATTTATGTAAAAAGGAGTTGAATAGGGTCTGGTGACTGCTAGCAGCTGTATATATTTATATATTTCTCTTGATCAATGAAATTTCCATTTACCCATAAAAAAGTTGAAGACTAAGTAAAATTTGAGATATTTGTAGTACCTTTTAAATTTAATCCTATTGTTAGAATTTGAGACATCCATTTCTCTCTCTCACTGGAGCTCAGTTCGGAAGGAGTACAAATACAAATATGTACAGTGCAAATAGACATCCATTTCTCCCTCTCACTGAGGTTCAATTAGGAAGGAGTACAAATACAAATATACAGTGCAAAACCTTGTATTCTGTATGTATTTGCACTGTACATATTTGTATTTGTACTCTTTCCAAACTCAGCCTTAGGCTTAGTTCGGGAGGAGTACAAATACAAATATGTAGAGTACAAAACCTTGTACTTTGTATTATTTTGCATTGTACATATTTGTATTTGTACTCTTTCCAAACTGAGCCTTGGTGCAGTCTCAGCCCATTTCACAGAATTCACATCAAGAGCCAGTATCTTAAATTAACCCTATTGCAGATGCAGGCATCAAAGTTGTTTACAGACTGCAGTTTAGTCTAGAGATGTTGAAGATCTACTTGGACAGGGCATATACTGGAAAACTGCTTCCAAGTTAATTACCACCCCATATACCAGCTACAATCAGCAAAGTTATTAGCCTATATAACTAAGCATCTTAATCCCTACCATTTGGGGTTGACTATTCAAATCCTTTCTTGTCATTGTTCTCTATCAGAAGCCATTTTCTCTCAAATAAGTCCTTGATCATTTCCTACCACTTTAGCTCTCATCTACATCAGCATCTTCATATCTAAACATTTTTAAGCATGTTTTTTGTTTGCCTAGCAGTTTTTTTCCAAGGAGGGTTGGTGTTGAGTAAAGAGATAAAGGATTTAGGGGAGTTTAAGTCACTTGCTATTTTTTTGTTGTTTGTTTTTATGGCCAGCTGGAATGAGATCCTCGTTTACAAGGTCAGTCAGAATAGCCATTCCCTCAAATGGGAGGATGCTATTCTGCTAGGAATGGGAATCGGAATCGGAATCCCATTCTGCCCGTGAGCACCCCTACCACTCTACCTACAAGGCTACAAAAACAGAATCCTCTTCATCATGTTACAAGGGTTCAACCGGTCTGACCGTCTGATCCGGTCTAGTTCAGTTTTCAAAACCATGCATCTTCCAATAATCTCTTCCCCACGTATCTCTTAAACTAAAAAAAGCCTATAATTCGTCTCCTTCCCAAGGCAATAACCTTGGAAAAGAAATTCTAGAGAATTCCCCCTTGAGAAACTGCTACTTGACCACATATCCCAAGTAGGCATTAGGACCAAGCAAGACAATTGGTCCAATGGTTCAACCTGAAACAAGCGAAAACAATAAGAAAATAAGTAGGAACAAATATCAAAAGCTTTCTTTTAGTTAACAAATACAAAACTGACATGAACTACGAAAGCAGAAAGTAGAATTATTTATTTATTTATTAATTTACCAATAAATATGCATGTTCATTTATCACTGACAATAGATTATCCATATAATGTTGTCTCAAGTTCCATATACAAAACGAGAAAACCTCATGTATAGATAAATATAGATTACCAAGAAAAGGAAGATACAAGACATGCATTGTTAGCAACATCATGGATAAGGTAAGAATGAAAGGATTCTATTATAACAAGCCACATCAACATTTTGGGAGAAACGCAATTGAAAAATCAGTAATCCATAAAAGAAAGTTTAGCAGAAATTTTTTATGATAGAACTGTCAACCCAAGAAATGACAACCATAATTGGTGCAGAATCTATCAATTAAAAATAATAAGGTACGAAAGATCATACTCAATTCTTGTAATCAAAGCAAACTGAAAAGAAGTATAGAAAAGAAAAAAAAAAAAAAAGAAGGGTCTACCTGAGTAAAGGGTTTGTGAAATCAATGGCAGGCTCTTGTTTCTTCTTTGTTGGTAGCAGAAGTAGTGGTCTTAGACATTGGTGCTGGGTGTAGTAGTGTTACTCTTGTTTAGAGGTGTAAAATGGGTCGTGCCGCCCTCCCCTGTTATAACTTGGGGGTTGGCCTGGCACAGCCCACGGTCCAAGCCCGTGTGGGCTCATGCCATGCTGCGAGTCGGGCTGGTTTGTGGGCCAAGCCTTAGGCCAGGCCAGGTCGTGGATTGGTTCAAAGCTATTTTTGTCTATTTATTTAAAAAAATAAAAAGAAAAAACTTAAAATTTTAATTTTATATGAATTTTGATGTATACAATTGCTTATATATACAATAGTTAAATAAATTAGTATAATAAAATTGAAAACAATTGTTTATTTTATTAATATATTATATACTATATATTATTATATAATTATAGTTTATATATTATATATAAATATATAAAAAATATATATATATATATATATATAATATATGGGCCATGCCAAGCCGGGCCGTGGGCGGCACAGCCCGCTCAATCGTGTCATGTTGGCCCGACCCGTGGACCTAAAACCCCAGGCCCAGCACAACCCAAACCATCATGTCAGGCTTGGCACGACCAACATGTCGTCATGCTGGGCCGGTCCAAAGTCGGGTTGGATCGTGCCATGGGCGACACAACCTGATTTACACCTCTACTCTTGTTGCTAATGGGAGAAGAGGCAATAGAATTAGGGTTCCTCTTCTTTTGTGTCTTTGGGGAGGAGTTGGAGGTGTGTGCCACTAGTGTGTTAAAGATAAGATGCCACTAGTGTGTTAAAGATAAGACATAAGTGGGTTGTAACAAAAAAAGGGTTTGTTATCCTACATGGCAAGAATTACGTAGTTAAATTAGTTATCTGGCTATTTACATCTATAAATACCCTTGGAATCTTCAATGAAGTCATCTCCTTTTCTTGTATTTCATACAATTTTTACATGGTATCAGAGCCAAGTTAGCTTTGATCCTTTTTTTTTTGTGTGTGTTTCCTTACTAAATGATAACACTCTGCAACAACCACTAGTTATGGCATCACCGTCTTTAACGAGAAAGACAACAACAATAACTTGTGACGAATCAAATTAGAAGTCGCTGTATTATCTACATCTGTTAAACTCTCTAGTTTCAAGCCCATTTACTTATTAAAATTTGGGGTAAATTATAAAGACCCCCCTGTACTATGGGGTCTGTGACGAAGACCCCCCTGTACTTTGTTTTGCGACAAAGACCCCCTGTACTATGACCATGAGATAAAGACCCCCCTTGACCGTTAAGTCAGATGACAGATTGCATTAAATTACCAAAATACCCCACTAAACTTTTTTCTATTATCTTTTTTTTGCCCTTTTTCTCTTAAAACCTATTTAACCTATTGTTTTCCCTTTATTCTCTTTTCCCCTCCCTCACCGTCCTCTCTCATTCTTTCTCTCTCCCAATTCTCCTAAATGAAAGGATGGAGGAAACCCGTTTTTCATCTTCCCTTTCTTCTATTCTCCGTATTCAATCTCGTCTCTATAGTCGTTGCCAACAATGCCGCGATCATGGGAAACTGCAATGCTTGATGGCCCAACAACAGATGTCTGCCCATATCTTCGTCTTCTCCATCTTCCATCTTTTCCTCATTGTCATCGTCGACTTCTTCTGCTTCCATGGCAACTAGCAAAGGGAGAAAAAAAAGGACGGAAGGACTTGTAGTTGATGGAGCCGGAGACTCTCCTCCTGCAGCACTTGCAGAGCCGGAGCTAGAGCCGCCTCC